ACAATGACCATGTATAAAATTCTTCAGAAGAAAATCATTCACCCCAGTTACATTATAATTATTTGGTCAGTCTGGACTGCAACCCTAGACTGTGCAGGTGTATGAGGTTTCTTGGCAAAAAATTAGATGCAGGCTCCAGAGGAGAAATTTTTACAGAAAGTTTCTCCTCCGGTCTTCAAAGTCCTACTTCTTTGCAAAGGAGATAAGAACAAATCTTGAGTTTCATTCTGATTCCTTGAAACAAACACAGAAGATAACCACTTTTTACTGACACACAGCAAGAACTAAAGAGCTGAATTGGAGGGAATGGACCCCCACTGGCAGAATATTATGCTAAAGTCATTAAAAAATAATACTAATGATCCCTAAGCCTCCCACAGGCCAGAAAACATCTGAGAGTTTCAGATAGTTCCCCTCCTCTGCCTGGGAATTTTTTCCTCTGCCCTGCCTCCCTCCTGTCTCTACACAACGTCTTCAGCCTTTGAAACTGCATCCATTGTAAACAGCTCTGAATATTAACACAGCCCAGGGTCCTGCTCACTTTTAAAAGACCCCTAGGGTTTCCAATTGCAGTTGCTGAGGAAGGAAACTGTCCCCAGTGAGTAAATGTCACCAAGTGCATTCAAAAGGAATTGAAAGTTAGGCTTGCTCATGAAACTTAAAGTCCTTCAACCTATGGGGTAAATCAGAGGAACCCTTTTTATGTTTTAAACAAATGAAGGGGAAAAAACAAAGAAGACTCTGGTACAGCCAATAACATCTTTTAGTGCTTACTGCAACTCAGTGAATCCCCCTCTTCTGGATTTCCCTCTCCCATGGGTGTCATTTTTAAAATAACCACAGGCTACTTTAGCCTGCCTCTTAATCTCACAGGTGCACAACACTGGGCCAGGTGCATAAGTCACATAAACCCTGGTGTGCTCTCTGGTATTCGCCTACCCTGAAAGAGAGGATGCTGAAAAGGAGACACCTCTGCAGAAAGAGAGAGGGGCCCTGTCATTGTGAGCATGGTGTCTGAGGGCCAGAGGTCAGCCAGAGGCTGTCCCAACTGGTCTGAAAGGCTGCACAGGGAACCCTAGGCAAACTAATTAACCCTGGGGGAGGAAGCTGAAGAGCAGGGGCAGGCCAACAGCCACTAGGAACTGGCTCTCAAAACACTACACTGCATTTTCCTCATCGTTTTGAAGATGTTTCCAAGAATTACTGCCAGTACACACTCGAATGTCCACTTTGTGAAATCTAGCAACCAAATGCAGTTTTAAAATAGACCCTTGAAAAGGGGAGTAGGAACAGCTCAGACACATACATACTCCTGCCAATACAGGGTTAACTTATATGGATGGGGGGGAGGGGGAAGACATTTCCTAATTTTGCAGTATTCAAAAATTGTATTTTATGGCCGTAATTTTATATTAGCAGGATTTAAACAATATGCCTTTCTCTAAAGGGAACCAATATTATTTACCAAGACAATATTATTTGCCAGAAACCTCCTCTTACTCAAAAAAAAGGATCAAAGAACTAGCAACAAGTAAGTTCTCCACCATCAAGAGGAAAGTGAGGCCAGCCTTCAAGGCTTGCTGCAAAGTAAAGGACTGTGAGCTCAAGTTAAACACTCTAAAACCTTCAGCACTTGCACCTTTCAAATTTTTCTCTGTCAAATCCCCATGTTTAAAGCGTTCCCTACGGCTGGGCTCAGTGGTAGAACAAGGTTGTGAATTTAATTCCCACAATCGCAAAATAAATAAATAAATAAATAAATAATCTCTATTCCTAACAACCTAAAAAAATCCAGTTCTTCATAAGTCATATGGAAACAAAAGGCAAATGGACAGAAGGGAATATTTAAACACCGCCTAGAAGTTATATACATTTAAAAAAAAAATCTTACTTTAGGTACTGGAAGAATTTGGTCATTAATTTGCATAAACAGGATGGGAAGTAATTTCCAAACCCTTAATTCGTAACACCCTGCACACCTGGGCCTTGGAGCACAGTTGTAAAATTTGAAAGTCAGGGTCATCTTTCCTCCAAGGAGAGTAACAATCAGTGTTTGTCCTTGACTGCCTTCCCACTCACAACCCCAAAAGGCCACCATTTTGCTCTCAGAACATTCAAATTTATGCCATAGGTAAGAGTCTAAGGTAAACTGCATTCAATAATACCTCTTAAACAGCTTCTGAAGCCATGCTCTCAAAAATAATTTCAAAGAAAGCAAACATCTGAGTCCTAAGAAGCTGAGAGTCTTCTAGGGTTCTGGGAAGCTGGAATAAGGCCTGGCAGCGGTTGGTGCTATTTATGAATGTGCTGGTTGGACCAGGCCAATCTCACCTATGTAATGGGATGAGAGACTCAGTTATGGCTCCAGTACTTTCAGTTACTGTGCAGACCAAGTTATCCTCAGGTACCCTAGGAAGGAACCTATTTCCCCCTCTACCAGCACCATCCCAATTTTCCTAAATTCACACTACGTTTATATTCACTATCAAAAAGTTGTACTTTCCTCATCCTAGGTCTGGAGCAACTCAAAAATCAGATGCACTATTTACAAAAGAAAAAAAAAATCCCATAAAGCTACAGGTCCCCTGCTATCTCAAGCCCGAAATTGTTTGAACTGGCTGCAGTAAATCTAGTTCATAGGCTTATAAACTAGCTCAAAGCATTCTCTAGACACAATGGAATTAGAGGAGATAAACTCAGTTATATTATATACAGAAACTTTCTTCACTCATGTGTTGTTGAATCACAGCCAGGAATATAAGCCACAGAAATATCTTCATGGAAATTTCAGAATAAAATTAATGATTTAAATTGGGACATCTGAAGATGGGGGGGAACATGTTTGATTTCTCTTTAATCAGAAATACAACAACTTCACAAATATTTTTCAAAGGATATCCATTTTTTTTTTTACTGTACGCTGTGTTGCCACATACTAACCAGAAATCACATTGCTCAAATCTTAAGATCTAATCAGTTAACACCATATTCAATGTAATCAAGTCTCCTGAAGCTCAAAACACTCAGTTTGGTATTTACTGATCATCAAACATGTGAGTAAAAAGAGACTGTAATCTTAAAGGTACTTATGCTGTGTGAAATGTCACTTCTAAGCAACAGAAAGCCTAAAAAATGACCAGTGTGTTCTGCTCCAAAAAAGGACGAGGAAATGTGGGTCTTGTGACCACAGGAAAGTGCAAATAAGAGAACACTCTGTCCTCTCCCGGAAGTTACAGCTTGGGAACTAAGTGCCTTCCCCACAATGCCACATGGCATGCAATGCAATGACACATGGCATTGCAAGTCATTCTTCCAACAGGTGAACACTTGAGAAGTTATTCTAATTCTGCACACGTGGTTCTATTCAATTAAAAAAAAAATCTAAGTATGTCAAGGAAAAACCACAATTCCACAGACTGCCCAAGCAACATAAAATCCTAAGGGCACTAGGTTTCAGCTCCAGTACTTGACAGGGTCCCAGCCTCTGTTAAAACTGGCCCTAATACCACACACCACCAAGTGAATGTCTGAATCCCACAGCAGAAGCAGATACTGAAGAGAAAGCCTAATCAGAGATAAGAGGACCTGGCCAGTTCAAAACGCTGTAATACTAGCTCAGGCAGCAATGCTCTGTGTGGGCCAGTCTAAAGACCTGTGCCTCATTCTGAGAACCATGGCATCTTCATGTTGGAAAGGAATTAACTTCTTCCCTGTATGGCAGTCAGATACTCAGATCACATTTTCTGCTCCCCAAGCCACAGGTGTTGGTTAAAACTTGTGTCACACATTTTCTCTTTTTTTAAACTGTGAACGTCATGCCTGAAGTTACTGCTGTGACTCTTCTATGTTCTAGCAAAGATGTCCAGTTATTCAACTGAGAATCGAATTACTCAAGCTAGGCCTTTTCTGGAAGGTACCAGTAGTTCTACAGAGATGCTAATTACTAGTAACTGGACAGGATTTGACTCACGAACCAGATTTTTTACAAGTAAGAGAGACTATTTTATTTCTCCAAGTTTACATTAGTATGTCTTCCTTCCCATTCCCACCCAGGCCAAATCTCTTGTAAGAAATGTCCCACCAAAATACTGACAGCAGGGAAAAGAGTCTCTTTGGGGTGAAACAAACTGTTAAAATCAGCCAAGCTCTGGCACCCTCTCCTGAAGCAGCATCACTCCAAAACTAATTTGCACCATTTATGGAGGAGAAACTCCAGGGTGGGCCCCACCCCACTGGATCATCAACAGGCCCTAGAGAACAGACAGGAAGGATCTGGAACACAGTTCCTAAAATGCCAACCAGGCGGAAAAGGAAAACTCCACAGATCTGCAAGAACCTCAAAGCCCCCTAACTGCTGGGTCCTCCTGGGAAGGCTGCCTTCTGCCCCAGCCAGAGCCAAGTCAGGCCATCAAGGTCCTAAGGATCAAAAGGCAACTACACACACACACACACTCACTCACTCACTCACTCACTAATAAATAATGTAAGTGGAACACTGGAGCCAAGAGTCACCTTCATTCATTACCCACTGGAAGACCAAGGCGCTCAGACACCGAAGAGCTGGATTACAGGAGGAGAAAAGAAACACAAGACCAGACTCCATACACAGGTATCTTCACTCTCCTTCAGACATTTCCTTCCCCACCCCGCACCTTTCTCATGCACAAATACGTTCACCTCCACTATTCACCTCCAGACACCCATCACCCTCACCACGCACACTCACTCACCTCCAAACCTGCACAAACAGCTCGCCTCCACACGCCTAGGACCCACCATCGCTCACGTCCAGACCCCCACACCATCACCACCCACGCCCTCTGCTCCGGACTCCCATGCGCGCACGGTCTCACTGCGGCCACCGCACGCGGACAAGTCTTCCAGCACGCTCGACTCCAAACAGAGTTCAAGGCGCATCTCCTTCCCGAGCAAGAACCCCCGCCGCCCCGTCCCAGTGACAGCGCCCAGGGGAGCAGGGAGGGCGGAAAGGTAGAACTCACAGGCTCCGCGTCCAAGCGGGCAGGTCCTCGGGCAGCGTCGCCAGCCCTCGCCCACTGCAATCCAGCGAGTCCCCGGCGCAAGTGCAGGCGGCCGCGCAGGGCGCCCGCGGGCCGGCCTCCGCCGTCGCCGGCTTCAGCGAAAGCAGCAGCAGCAGCAGCCACAGGAGAAGGCAAGACGAGCGGCACGGGGCCCCGAGCGCTCCCCGGACCGGCCGCGCCATCTTGTCTGGAGCGCGCTGCGAACTCCGGGCGCGGGTACTGCGAGGTCCCGGACGGTCCCAGGCGCGAGGGGGCCCGCGGGGGCTCCTCTCCGAACTAGGCTGCGAGCCGGGGCATGGCCGCCGGCATAAGTTGTCGCCGCACTCGCGGCTCCGGCGCTCAGCGGGCCCCCGGTGCCCGGGCCGCTCCGCAGCGACCGGCGGGGGCCGCGAAATCCTCGCCCATCCGGGCCGACCCGCCCGCGCTCGCTGAGAACCCCACGGACCCGGGCAAGGAAGGGGTGCTGGGCTGGTGCTCCTCGTCCTCCCGCGGAACTCTAGGTCGGCTTCCCAGTCCTGGCGCACGCCAAGTGCCGCTGCCGCCACCGGCCTTGGGCTGTGCAGCCGCCGCGGCTGGAAGGAAGGCGTTCAGTCTCGCAGCCTGAGCTCGGCGCCAACGGGCATCTTCCTCTGGGAGCACAGCGCAAAACTGTAGCCCCCCTACGGCTGGACGGCCACCCACGCGCTCGGAGGGCCCCGTGCGCCTCGCTGTCCCAGCGCCACAAGCGGAGCGCGAGCGCGGGCAGTGTCCGGCTCCGCACCGCTCCTCCGCACAGCGAGAGCTCCACGGACCTCGCGGCCGAACAATCAGCCGCTCGCAGCTAGCCTCCTGGCGGTCCAGCCCGGGCCAGTCCCCCAGGCCCCGCCCCCGGCCGCTGGCCCTCACACACCCCCTCGACTCGGCGCCCCGCGGCCGCCTGCAGGCCCACGTTGGATGCTTTGCAGCAGCGCTGCGCCACGCCCCGTCCCGCTGCTCATTGGTTGTCGGGGTCCACGGAGGTCAGCCTCGACAACCATTGGAGCACTCGACAGGATCCCGCCCCCGCAGCCTAGCCGGCCACCCCGCCCCCACTTTCTTTTCCCACCCAAGGTGTGAAGGGCGGGGGACCGGGAGGAGAAAGGGAGGGGCTTCCCCCGCCTCTTAAAGGAGACGTGGAGGTTGTCGCGGGAGAATACGGACGCGGGCCCTACGCGGGAAGTAGGGGAGGAGTTGAAGTTGGTTAGCCAGGTAAAGCCAGACTGCGTTTTGGTGCAGTCTGGGCCCTAGCTTTATTCACTCCTCCCCAAACTGCAGAGCCTTGTAAATTTAAAGCAAACGTGCACCCATTTTCCAGGTGTCTTATTTATTTGTTTAGAGGTGGTCCCCCTTCCTTCTCTCACAGCCTGAAACTCCTTTCTGCTCCTCACTTGTTTTTGACATCTTAAATCCAGCAATATGTGCTTGATTACCAAAATGAATGCGTACTGCAGAAACCAAATCTCAAAGGTACACCCCCTCCTCCGCCCCTACTAAGTGGGAGGGTACTTCTGGAAATTCTCCAGCCTGGATATAGGGGTTGCTGTGTTTAGTTTGTTTTTAAAATTAGAACCTTTTAATGACAGTTTTCAAGAAGACACCGAAAGTTAAGAGACAGAGTAAAAGAAATAATAGTAATATTATTTGGGCTCTCACAGAACATATGTCATAGTGAATGAAAATGGCAAGGCTGAGCGTGTACACACACACACACACACACACACACACACACTTTGTGAAAAAAGGAAAAGATTAGCCCTGTAATACATAACTGCCCCTCTGGGCATTTTGACTTGCTGGTGTCTCATATCCCTCCCCAAGAGTATGCAAGTTTCTGCATACATTGTCACATCAAGTCTGCTGAACAACACATGCTCCAGCACATTAAGTCTGACTTGGGTTTTATGGAAGCACAGTGGAGAAGATGGTTCCTCATGAAAAAAAAATCAAACAACAACAAAAAGAAAAGCAAAGGAAAAATAAAGGGTTTTGGTCTGTATTTGACATATCTTAAGAGGTTTGCTTTTACTGACATACACTGAATGTGTTCAACTTTCCCTCGGCCATAAGATCACCTTTTTTCTTTTTAGTCAAATTGGACCTGGGCTTGGGCTTGGTATTCAAGTGATTCCTGATTGCTTTTTTTTTTTTTTTTTCAGACTGAGTCTCACCATGTAGTACAGGCTGCCCTCAAACTTTTGATTCTTGTTTCAACCCTCTGAGTGCTAGGATTACAGGCATGTACCACCACACCCAGCTTTGGTTGACTTTCTTTTTCTCCCTTCTTCACCTTCTTTTTCCTCCTTTCCTTTCTTCTGATTCATTATGCTATCAAATAATGGTGCCTCATTTCTTTCTCATTTTTTTCATGATGTCAGCAGTGATGCCAAAGCAGTACTCAAATATGTGTGTAAATCAATCCAAATAGGATTGCCAAGAATCATTATGGAGAAAATACTGCACCTGACCCATTCTCTAAAGTTATTTGTAATTCACATAAACATAGACCTTCCATCTAAATGAAGAGAGATATGTCTCTTTGTCTTCATGGCTTTGGGTGAAAATAACAGTAATACACAGGGGGAAAGGAATGTAAAGGACCCCAAATTGATGAGGTCCTCCATGTCCATGCTTAAGTTTTTCAAGACCAGAAACACACAAGAGTAATGCTGAATACTCATAATCATTTCCTCAAAATTGTCAGATCATGCTTACTCCATGTCCCCCCAAAACAAATAAAATATAATATGCAGCAAAAAAATAAATGGAACTAATTGTATTCTGTGAGATTCAGACCTCACCTCAACTGTATCTTTCAGGTTTGTCCCATTTTGAGTTTATAAAAGGTTTCTCAAACGCTTATGGTGTACCTATGAGATGCACTTTGGGGAACCCAGAATTCCAAAGGAGAGGATTTGTGAATCTGCAAGGTAATTTGTCCACAGATCTAAAACATCCCCTGTGGTCTGCTTACCACACAGTCAGAGAAAAGGATTCCAAACCAAGGAACACTTGGGGGGACAGGGCGCCTGAGCCTTGGCAGTTCCTCTTGTCTACAGCAAAGCATGAAGTCATGTCTGCTCCTTATACCATGTATGGAAGTTTGCCCACATACTAGCAACCTGCATGTGATTGCAGTAAGAGTGTGGGCTTGCAGAGCAGAGATATCCAGCTCAAGGGAGAGCAATATGTGACTACAACCTAAAATCAGGAAGAAAGCAACAGCCAGAGCAGTCTCTAAGGGAATCTATGTTCCTGCTTATAAGAGAGCAAATCTTGGTCCTTTCAGCACAGAGCAACAATTGACGTCAGCATTCTAGATCCTCGTTTCCTCCACTGCCATTTTCATACTTTTAGTTACTTATTTCTTGAATGGGTCATCCTGGCATTTTAGATTTTCCAGATCATTTTAATCTACCAGAAACCAAACCCCGGAGCCAGCATGTACCCAAATCCCCTCTGAGAATCACTGCAGGTCTCTATTGAAAGCGGAAATCCCAGCAGTAAATCATCTTAGATCCACTGCTAGAGGGAGGAACCCCAAATTACCAAGAAGTGGAAAGGGAAACAAATGACAAAATAGGAAAGCAGGTTGATCACAGGAATTGTTTTTATAACACAACTTTCAAGAGACTGAATTGTGGCAATTTGCTGGACTTCTAGGTGGTGACCATCGGTAGTTTTAAAGAATGCTGAAATTCACAGCGGCCTTAGTATTAAAAGAGATTTTACACTATGTTCAGTATGCTAAAAGAGCATCAGGGGAGTTGTGAGTAGAGCTTAGTACTAGAGTACTTGCCTAGCATGCACTAGGCCTTGGGTTCACACCACAAAAAAAGAAAACAAACAAATAAACAACAACAACAAAACAGTACCAGGGCATCATTCAGAATACATGAGTTTCAGTCAGGCCTTATTATCATGAAACCTTTGTCATTTCCTTCCTTTAAGCCCGTTTTCTGAAATGACAAACAAAGAAAATGGTAACTTCTGACCTGGGTACTAAGAGAGTTAAGTAATGATCTATTTTGATAGAGGACACAGCGGTATTATAAACTGTTTAGGGCCACATAACACACAAGGTTTATTTTCAAGGTGTTACTGAATTTTAACTTTGAAAAATTGAGAGCCCATTTTTCTATTAGGGATGGAAAAATCTTAGTAGGTTCTTTCAACTCCAAGGTTTCTTTTCCAGGAATGCCATAAAGGGTTAATAATTACCAGTAAAACCCCTGAAGACTTACAGGGTGATGACAGCCTGCTTTGAGCCTGTCTTGTGTCTCTTTTCCAAGGGAAATAAAAGTGTGTACTCATTAACTCCTTCCTCACAATAATCTTGTCAAGGAGATGGATTGAGGGAGAAGGTAAGAAAAAGCTAATGAGTCCAATGATGGAATAAGAAGAGAGAATTGTAAAATCTCCCTGACTGGGTTCTAACATTTTCCTTTGGGGAAGTGGGGAGAGGTATGTTTCCTTGTGCTGTCCCTAGCTATTGGCAGATTGGTTAGTGCCCATGCAGTGCCAAGATGAAGCTACTATGGATCTGCAGATAGAATGACTAATACCTAAAGCCCAGCTGTGACCCTCACAGGCCTCTGCCCTACTCTGAGACTAGCTTTGACAAGGGGCCAAAAACCCGGAGAGCCCATTTCCCAACACAAACTAGAATCTGGACACTTGTCCTTGTCTTGTCATTTTGAAAGTTTAACTAGTTCAGGGAAAGAATTTTTTAAAATTACCAAAGTTATGAGCATTTCAAAACTTTGAAGAGGATGCAGCCCCTTAGTTCCTACAACAATGATGAAAGGATGGGCTGATGACATCATCACCAGAGGATGCACCTCTCACCCCTCATCTGCTGTCTTTCCAAATGTCACTTGGTAAAGCACATGAAAGATTGGGGGTGGAGAGAAACAAAGTGTATGCCTTACTGCCAAAGACTCAGAAGCAGCACTTCCATGTACACTAAGAATAGCACATTTATCACAACTTTCAATAATAATCTCCATCAAGTAATGGACTGTGTGTTTTTCAAAGCATGTCACATCACAGCAACAGCTGTCATTTACTGAGCTCATATTATGTGTCTGTTGCTTTGCTGAGTGCTTTATATACTTTTTTCATTGAGGGGGGGAGTCAAGGAAATGCTCAAGGCCACACAAGGAATGAGTGACAGAGTCAAAACTAAGCCAA